GTGAAGAATTGTGTTGGGATTTTGATGGGGATTGCATTGAATCTGTAGATTGCTTTTGGCAAGATTGCCATTTTTTGTTATGTTGATCCTACCAATCCAAGAGCATGGGAGATCTTTCCACTTTCTGATATCTTCTTTAATTTCTTTCTTTAGAGAGTCAAAATTCTTATGGTACAGGTCTTTCACTTTTTTGGTTAGTGTTACCCCAAGGTATTTTATGTTGTTTGTGGCAATTGTAAAGGGTGATGTTTCTCTGATTTCTTTCTCCATCAATGTGTCATAGGTATATAATAGGACTACAGATTTTTTTGAGTTAATCTTGTATCTTCCACTTTGCTGAAGGTGTTTATCAGCTGTAGGAGTTCCCTGATAGCGTTTTTTGGGTCACTTATGTAGACTATCATATCATCTGCAAATCGTGAGACTTTGACTTCTTCCTTTCTGATTTGTATTCCCTTGATCTCCTTTTGTTGTCTTATTGCTCTAGCTAGAACTTCAAGGCATAAATGTTCAGAATTGAGACTTCATCCTGATGGATTTCTCCTGTGGTGAGTAGGAAGTGACCTCCTTCATCTCTTTTGATTGATTTTAGTTTAAAGTCCAATTTGTTGGATATTAGGATTGCTACTCCCGTTTGTTTCTTGGGCCCATTTGATTGGAAAATCTTTTCCCAACCTTTAATTCTTAGGTACTGTCTGTCTTTGAAGTTGAGGTGAGTTTCTTTTATGCAGCAGAAGGATGGATTCTGTCTTCTTATCCATTCTGCTAATCTGTGTCTTTTTATAGGCAAGTAATATTCCTCATTAATGTTGAGGAATATTAATGACCATTGACTATTAATTCTTGTTTGTTTTGGATTTGGTGGTGGTTGTGAAATTATGTGTGGGATTCTATCCCCTTTTCCATTTGGCTGTTGGTAAAGTGGGATTATCTATTGCCTATATTTTCTGGTTGTAGTTAACTTCCTAGGGTTGCAGTTTTCCTTCCAGAAATTTCTGTAGGGCTGGATTGGTGGATATGTATTGTTTGAATCTGGTTTTGTTATGGAGTATCTTGTTTTCTCCATCAATATCTATTGAAAGCTTTGCTGGTTATAGTAGTCTGGGCTGGCATCCATGGTCTGTTAGTGTAGGTAGAATATCTATCCAAGACCTTCTGGCTTTCAGCGTTTCCATGGAAAAGTCAGGTGTAATTCTGATATGTTTGCCTTTATATGTTACTTGACCTTTTTCCTTTGCTGCTCTTAATATTTTCTCTTTATTCTGTAGGTTTGGTGTTTTGATTATTTTGTGATGAGACTTTTTTTTTTTTTTGGTTCAGTTTTTGTGGTGTTCTTGGGAAAGTTTTCTGTGATTTTGTTGAATATGTTTTCTGTGCCTTTGAGTTGAATTTCTTTACCTTCGTCTATACCTATTATTCTTTTTTTTATGTGTTTGTGTGTTTTGTATATTTGTTACTGTGTTTGTTTCTCTGTGTTGTGTTTGAGTATTTCTGTGTGTCTGAATACCCATTATTCTTAGGCTTGGTCTTTTCATGGTATTCCATATTTCCTGGACATTTTGTGTTAGGGATTTGTTGGACTTAATATTTTTTTGGTTGATGAGTCTATTTCCACTAGTGTGTCTTCCACTCCTGAGAGTCTCTCTTCCATCTCTTGTATCCTGTTGGTTATGCTTGCAACTGTAGTTCCTGGTCGTTTACCCAGCTTTTCTATTTCCAGCATTTCCTCCGATTGTGCTTTCTTTATTGTCTCTATTTCAATTTTTAGGTCTTGAACTGTTTCCTTAAGAGATTTGTTGATATTTTGTATTTTTTGGTTTGTTTTTCTTCCGTTTCTTTAAGGGATTTTCTCATGTCCTCTATCATTTTCATGAAGATGTTTTTTTCCCATTCATTTATTTAGTTCATAAATAAAGTCATGCACAATTATGATACAGAATACAGTATGTTCACAATGGCAATTAACATGTTATATCACACATATTTATCATTTTTGTCTTGCTAACAATTAAAGTATATTATCTCACAACTTTTAAAATATAGCATATTGTTATCAACCATATTTATCATGCTCTCAGTAGACCTCAAGACTTCATGAAGATGTTTTAAAGGTCATTCTCTTCTGCTTCATCTGTATTGTGATGTTCAGGTCTGGTGTATGGTTCCTAGTCTCCGGTGGTGTCATATTGGGTTTTCTGTTTTGAATGTGCTTTTACATTGTCCTCTTCTCATCCTGCCTTCTGGTGGGTGTAGCAGGAGTCTCTTCCTCTCCTGGTGGGTATGGGACCAAGGTTCCCTTCTGGAAGATGCAAACATTTCCAATCTCTGATGTCTGTCCTCTCCTCGTGGATGGAGGTGGGACTAGGCTGGTGGATGGAAGTGGAACTGTTGCCGGGGCCTTGACAGTTTCTAGGTGTGTTGGATCCCGCCAAGTTTGGATCCGGTGAGCAGACCCCTGGCGTCAGATGTTCCCTAGCAGGGCCGCAGAACTGGAACCGGAAACAGTCCTTGGCCTACCTGGGCTGGTGGATGGAAGCGGGACTCAGCATTGTACTTTTGCATCATGAACATGTTTAAGGAGCATGTGCATATGTGTGTATTACAGTTTTCTACTTTTACATTTAGTTTCTTCCACTTGAGTAATTTATATGTTAGCAACATCAACCTTTGTCTGTGACATATGTGGTCAGTATTTTATCCTGCTTTATTATTTTTCTTTTTCTTTTCTTTTTTTTTTGCTTTACTCACACAACTACCATACACAAAATTTTTAAATTCATGAAGTCAAACCAATAAATCTTGACTGTATGTAGGTGGCAAATCATACAAGGACAGCATCTTCCATATCTAGGCTGTCGAAATTTGCCAGGTTTTCTTCTAGTATTTCTGTCCTTGCATTTTTCGCATTTAAATACTGTGCATCAGGCACTTATGTGGATAGTGTAAGAAAGCCTTCCATTTGTCATTTCTCACTTGTCTTAACAGTAATTAGAGAAAGTCCATCCTTGCTGAAATAATTGGTGTCCGCTCACACACACACACAAAACAACAAACACACAAACTTGGTGGTAGGCTGAGCATGGTGGTGCATGTAAAATGATTCCAGCACTCAGAAGGGTGAGGTAGAGGGAATTAGAGTGCAAGGTCATCTTGGCTTACACATTGTCTCAGAAAACAAAGAGATAATACCGTTGAGGAGCTTTTTGTTGTTATTTTAAAGATTAGATAGTTTCAGAAAATTTAGACAATTCAGAAACTCATAAACAAGTCACTAACCCATTAGGACTATTTCATGCTGCAAAGAGAAGAGGTGTGGGCATTTTCTCTGGGCTCTGAGTTCTGGGGTCTGGTGGCCTTTAGGACATAATGTTTAACAAAAACTTAGCTGGACCTATTACAGGCACATGCCTTTAATCCCAGCACTCAGGAGGCAGTTTGAGGCCAGCCTGGTCTACAGAGTGAGTTCCAAGAGCTACATGAGAAACCCTGCTCCCCCCCTCCCCAAAAAAGAACAAATTCATAAAGCACAAAGTCCAGAAACAGATCTAGGTACTCACAGACATCTAATATCTAGTAGAGGAGCCTGGGGATGGAACTCCAGCTGTTCGGTCTTGTGGCAGGTACCATTACCTGCTGAGCCTTCTCCCTGCTATTACCAGGTTTGTTGTTTTTGTTGTTTTTTTGTTTTGTTTTGTTTTTTTGTTTTTTTTATTTGTTTGTTTGTTTGGTATTTTTGTTTTTGTTTTTTCAAGACAGAGTTTCTTGGTGTAGCTTTGTAGACCAGGCTGGCCTCAAACTCACAGAGATCTGCCTATCTCTGCCTCCCAAATGCTAGGATTAAAGGAGTGTGCCACCAACACCCAGCCCGCTATTACCAGTTTTAAAGCCATGAATAGCATGAATTTTTAACAGTGATCTCCTTCCCACAAATGTTGCTGTTGACATCTTCCTTTTTCTTCATAGACTTTTAGCTGTATTTAGTTAGACATAGTGGCACATGCTTGCACTTCTGGCATTCAAGAGGCTGAGGCAAGAGGATCATGAGTACAAGGGCAGCCTGGGCTAAAGTAATACACTGCCTGAAAACAACAAAAAGTTAAAAACAAAAACAAACCACCTGTGTAATAGAGGTGAAACAGGAGGCTAGCCTTCAGAGGTAAGGCTGGCATGACCCTCTCTTCACACAGTCTAGAGGGCTGGTGTGACCCCCTCCTCACACAGGTGAATGGTATAGAGGGCTGGTGTGACCCCTCCTCACACAGGTTGACTGTCTAGAGTGGCTGCTAAATGCAGAGGAGATAGGAGGACAATGGAGGAACAGAATTGGCCAGCCAGAGTTTTGACTTGAGTATATGTCGGTGACACTTCCTAGGGAAGCTAATAGGAATAAGGTTAGCTCTCTTCTCTCCCTGCTCACCCTGTTCTCTCTGCTTGAAGGCATCCCTTAAGTGGAATGCTTTGGTTTTATTTTTTTAATACTTTCCATCATTAAAAAATTTATTTACAAGACCCATTTCAAGGAGACAGAGCTTATTGGCCACATGGTCTAGCTTTCAGCAAGTTTCATTTCAGGAAATGTATTTTCTTGAGAAAACTAAGACCTATAATCTAGTTTAATTCAATATGTCAAAAACAAAACCGGGTTTCATTATAAGCTTAACAGTTCACCTTTTTAGAGGAGGAGAGAGAGTTACACAAAGGCAGGATGTGTTCTGTAGCTAGTCACGTTTCGAGCCATGCTGGAGCAAGAGTTCTTCCGTCTGGCTCTGCATCATCAGCAGGTTCTGAAGGTGCTTTGTGGTTCAGTGCCATCAAACCTCTGATCCTGTCACCATAGCTGTATTCCTCACTCCTCTGTTGTGCGGTCTTTATTGAGATGCAGCCAGGGTTTTTCTGTAAAGAGTTGCTAATGCTAAAACAGCTCACCTTTGCACTGTGTCCACAGCGTCCTGTAGAGCCTGCCTCTGACAAGTTTGTCCTAGATGAAGGCTGGGTCTCCGTTCAGATGCTGCCCACCAGTGACATGTTCATAGAATTTTGATAATTGAGACATTTCATTAGTCTCTCTTGCTGCCCCTAGCACCACTCATGTTGTACACCTTGTACATTGCAGCTTCACAGCAACTGGCATGACTGGAAAGAGAAATCTGAGTCCTGACCCAGAGGAAGCTGGCTCGGAGGACAAAGAATTGGAGGAGATATCTGACTCTGAGCTTGAACAGATAGATTCCTGTGCAGACCCCTTCCCAGAGGGAAGAAGAAAGGTCAAGAAGTTAAAAAGAATGAAGAAAGAACTTTCCTTGGCAGGTTGGTATTGGTCTGACTAACTTTGATCATGGGCTGCTTCAGGCTTCAGGAGGCTCATATTTGGGGAACAAAATAATAGCAGGGCTTCACTTGAGGGCAGACACATGTGGTAACCCACAGAGCTGTTGTCTCTAGCAGAAACGGAAACCACTCTTTCATGGCTGTGATGGATTACTTGGCACAACAACTTAAGAGAGGAAAGGCTTGTTCGGGCTCATGGTTTCTGAGGGTTTTCAGTCAGCAGGATGGCAGCGATGCTTCTGTCTGTGTGACTAGAGCAGGGGGCAGCTGCACAGCAGTCTCTGCTTGTTTGGATAGTGGCAGATAGGAAGTGGAGGGAGCTAGACCAGAACCAGGGTGGGTTCAACCTTCAAAGAGCTGATTCCACCACCAGCCACTTCCTAAAGGCTCCACAGCCTTCAAAGTAACACCACACACCAGGGCTGAGAGACAAGCAATGATGAATTTTAATCTGAGAGGCTGGAACAAGCCCTGGTTCTGGCACACAAAGCTTGCTGAGGACTCTTCGTGAGAGGTAATCAGGCCATTTTCTTCCTTCCTTCCTTCCTTCTTTCCTTCCTTCAAGATTTATGTATTATGTATACAGTGTTCTGCCTGCATGTATGCCTGTGTGCCAGAAGAGGGCACCAGATCTCATTATAGGTGGTTGTGAGCCCCCATGTGATTGATGGGAATTGAACTCAGGTCCTCTGGAAAAGCGGCCAGTGCTCTTAACCTCTAATCTGTCTCTCTAGCCTTAGGCCATTTTCATAATTCTTCTCTCCACCATGTTATCAAGGTGTTACATGTGTATTTCTGGTAGTTGCAGTGTTTAGGACATGCATTTAGATTTACACAGAAGCAATTCCTTGTGTTCTGTTTCAGTAGCAGACTTAACAGTGTTCCCAGGGACACTCTGGAATCCTAATTTTCTTCATAAACAGAATTATATAAGAAGCCAAGGAAATGGGAAATTAGCCATGTTCAGAGCCTAGTGTGTGCCAGACTCCATAGTGGGAGCCTTATTTCACTTGATTTTTATGGTTTTACAAAAGCTTTGAAAGGGGGAACCATCACTATTGCAGTGCTCCAGGCTCCAAGCTCTGAGAACTTCAGGAAGTGTAAGACATAGAACCAGGGGACCCAGGCCTGCCCGACCCAGCTCTGCCTCTGCACCTCACATGCCTCAAGCAGCCAGTGCCCACGGACCCTAGAGCAAGGGCCTGGACAGCTTCTCCTCACTAGTGTCTGCTCTGAGGGACACCAGGAAGCAGGTGTCACTACAGCACCCATAGCGCTGCTCCCCATGTGCTTGGTTACATGTGGGACAGGCCCAAATGCTTGTAAGCTCTGTCCTTAACGCCATCACTGTCTGCTTTCTGACTAGGAACACGGAGGCTTCTCGGAGTCTTCCCGGGGTCCCAGACCCCTGAAATCTGTGCTGCAAAGAAGCCAGCCCGTGCTTTCACCCAGGGCCTGTTTGTGTGCTCAGGATTAGGAGACAATGACCCAGATACAATTCTTCTTTGTGTCACTTGGGGACAGTGGCCTTGATTGGCAATCAAGAGTGAGGTAGAGCAGTGCTGGGCAGCAGGCTTGACTGTGTCCCAGCCAGGGCCCTGGTCTTTCCACTCTGCCTGTGTCCTGATCTGTAAAGAGTGTGCTGAATTTCATCAAAATTACCAAAAATCCACAAGCAGTCGAAAATCCACCTAAGCATGGTCTGCATTGCTGCAGCTTCATTTTAACACAAGCTGCAGTCCTGCTTGCAGCTCTTCATCCCATCTCTCCAGCCCTCATCATCACAGTCTCTAAAATACTCAGATTAGAAGGTCAGGCTTGGCAGTGCATGCCTGAAAGCTGCATTTGGAAGGCTGAGGCCGAAGGATCCCCATGACTTTATGGCCAGTCTGATCTGTACAGGGAGTTAAGGCTAGTCTGGGCTACAAAGTGAGACCAATCTCCGAAAAATTAAAACATTTAATTGTAGAATACATTAATAGATTAATTTCTTTTGTAGTTTTCATCATGTTAAGTGAAAACTTTGCATCAGTTATTTAGGGTTTTAAACTTAGGGTTTTTTCCCTCCCATTGAAGCAACGCTGTCAGTGCTGAACATGTGAACTAAAAACAAAAGTAGATTTTGTGCTTTTTGTCAGTAATGCAAAAAGAGATGCTACAGGAGAGACACTTTGACATTGAGTTGGAGGATATAGGGGCAGTGGGCTTTTTCCTGAAGCCTCCTGAGTGAAGGAGGCTTCTGACTACTTGGTGGAACTTGCTGGACCCTCCACCATCTTGGTTTAGCAATCAGTCCTGTTTGTGTCTGCAAGCTTGACCTGGGTAGTCAGAGGCTGAACCTGTTGAGTTAACCAGTCTTATTCTCATTTTGAGTGAAACCTGCCATGAGGGAGTGCAAAGAGATCCCCAAAGTGCCATGAGTGGGACTTCAGATTCTGCTGGTTGTTGGGGCTGTGTGCAGTGTTAGGGAGCATGCCGAGCAGTGTCCACCCGACAGCTTTAGCAGTTAGCTCTGTGAGCCCCAGCCTTTGTGCTGCACAAGTGCTGACACCTAACATGTGGGCCGGCCTGGGAGATTTCCTGGCTTACAAAGAGTGTGTGTATAGCAGAAGCAGAACCACTGGGTATAATGCTCTGCAGCTGCCACACAGAACGGTGTCACTTGCCACCCTAGATACACTAGGAGTTAAATACCAGATGCCCTCGCACGTGACAAAAGCACCTAGATACCTGGAGCAATAGCTATTTGCTGGGTTTCTATTGTGCATCAGGATGTGTCTGCCCTCAGAACCCCTTTTGTCATCTTGCCAGGTTCTGTAACCACACAGTAAGGCACAGAGGCTGTTAAAATAGGAGACAGGTTTGTGGAGTTCACTCTTGAGCAGTTAGAGCCCAGAGCCTTGGCTCTGCCTGTTTCTTTGTCTGCCTCAGTGGCAGGCTTGAATCTGTTCCATTATGAACATGCTCTTCCTCAACTCAGTCTCCACTCAAGCCAGACTAGATGCTGTGCTTTGCATACCAATCCAGCTGCGTTGCTACTGTCACCCCCACCGCTGTTGCACAAATGGCAGAAGTGGAAGTTTCTGACCTACAGGAAACCTGTCTGTCTGTAACTGAGCCAGAGGAGGGCTCAGCCTGCATCACTACCTCTGCAAAACCACAGCTGTTCTTGCTGTCCTGGGACCCATGGTCCTTACTGACTTGCTGCCCCTCGTATTTCTCCTGCAGGTACCAGCTGCTCTCCCTCTCATGGAAACCAAGGTTGTTGCAGCTCTAGTGAGGAGCTTAGTGCTTGTTCCAAACTCACCTCAGGCATTTGGTAGCTTTAAGTCCCTTACCTCTCTGTGTCTGTTCTTTCACCACTATCATGGGGACATGGTAGGCTTTTATGACACATGTGAATTAAATGCCCAGCTTGGTCTCCAGCAGAGAACGCTGCATGCACAGTGAGAGGGTCATGAAGTGCTTACACCCCAGCTCCCACCTGTGAGCAGAGGCAGCCAAAGCAGGTCAGGAGGTTTGCCACCTTCCTAAAGGTTCCTTTGGCTTCCCCTTCATGTACTGAGTCTGTCCCCAAGTCCAGGACCTTCCTGTGCACCAGTCCTTCCCTGCTTGTCACAGGGTGCTGTCAGTGCTAGCCAACAGTGTTCCCCCTAGTGACTGTCCATGTCCTTAATCTGTTTCTCCTTTCCCCCAGGAACTGTTGCAGATAGCCCTGCCATGCTCTTCGAAGTTCCCGACACATGGTAGCAGAGACCAGGGTGGAGCACACTGAGCATGCTGCTGCTGAGAGAAGGCTAGCCCAGCCTGCCTGTTTGGAAGCCATACTGTATTCTCTTAATCAAATGAGGCATGGGTGGGCTTTGGAACCAAGTTTATTTCCTGGGAAAGCTACTTTGTACTTCTTTGGCTATCTCTGTCTTCCCTTTTCATCTAAACTGACCATTGACATACGTCATGGTTGAGGGCTGTTGCAGGTGTGTGTGTTATTAACTAGTTAGTTCCTGATCCTGGGTAGTGATAGCCTGTCCTGACTAGCATCCAGGGAGGAAATCAGCTGGGAACCATGCTAGCATCCAGGGTATTCTGGTCATATTCATGCTGAGCTCCGCCCTGCCTGGAGATGTGTGGACAACCTCCATTCAGCCCGTGGTGCCATCATAGGCCATGGTCACTGGCTCCCAATGAGTAAGTGGTTGTGCCTCCTGCTTCCCACTATCACTGCCTAGAAACAGCACTCAGACTTGTTTTTTAATGGAAACCTTCCCGAGCTGCTGACCCAAGGTCATCTCAGCAGATACCCAGACTTTGAGAGCACATTATTTCAAGTTACTTTCCCTCAGATATAAGTCTGTCTTGGGTGGTGTGTGAGTGAGAAGCTGGACTTTCTGTTCCTATGCACAGTGCTGGATTCATGGTAAAGTGGCTTGCTTTTACCATGTATTTTTGTATTTCTCTCTCTCTCTCTCTCTCTCTCTCTCTCTCTCTCTCTATGTGTGTGTGTGTGTGTGTGTGTGTGTGTGTGTGTGTGTGTGTGTGTGTGTCTCCATGGCAGAACTACAGCATGCATCAAACCCTCATTGAGACAGGAGACACAGTGGCAAAGCATTGTGTTCCTTTAGGACACTCCAGCAGACACTTCTGGATATGTAATGTTTTTGTATCATGAAAATTGAATTTCAAAACGATGGAATTAAAGAAAATTTCATAGAAACCCGCCTTTAGCTTTTTCTTGGAGTGACTGATGCTTTTGCCCTCTAGCTGTTGCCTTAAGCTCCCATCATGGCGTTGCACATCTCTATGTATAGAAGACTTTTCCCCGCTCCAAAGCTCCTAGCCCTTCCCTTTGCCCCACTCAGTGTGTGGGCTCCACTAAGTGAAAAGTGCAAACAGGGAGGGAACAAGCCAGGGCTATTGGTTTTGCCAAGTCTTTAGATTTAAAGGTTAGAGATTAGGGAGGTTTGTAAGTGTAGGAAAGGGGACCCAGGGCTTTGCTTGCACTAGTCCAGCATAGTATCACTGAGCTAATCGCAGTCTGACACTAATTTTTCAAAGGGAAAAGGGAGATTGAGATATAGTTCAGTGCTGGAGACTTTTGCCTGGCATACTTCAGGCCTTAGCAGGAAGCAGGGGGCACATTATTTATGGGGCTGAATAGATGACAGCTCAGTGGTTAACATTGCTCTTAGTGCTCTCTGAGAGATTCATGGCCAAGCTGCTCTCACACCAGATGCAGGTGCTCCAATGCCTCCTTCTGGCATTTATGGTGACTTACACGTGCACATACATATATGTATAAATAAATCTTTAAGAATTATAAAAAAGAATTAAGGGAAGCACAAAACAATATGAGTTGGCACATCTATGTACATGCACAAGGCCTAATGTGTGGTACTTGTGTGTCTGTGACAACCCCCCAGTCCCGTATATAGATCTTACTTGAGAGGGTGAGAGGGAGACAGCTTCCTTATCCAAAGGTAATGAATGTCTACATTGTACCCCCAACCCCACTCAGGAGTATACACAGTACTCATTGCTGGAAAAGCTCTACCCATATGCACAGACCTTGCCATTGTTCTAGAGAGCAGTTGGTGGGGGTGAGATGTGCTTTCTAGACAGAACATGTGCTTCAGGGCCTCATACATCCAGCTGTGTGTGTGTTCCCAGGCACACTTCTATACCTCTGAGCCTCAGCCTTCTTGTTCATTAACTCAGAACAATAAAACTTCCCCACAGAGTAACTGTGAGCATAAATACAACTAAAATACCAAACATTCGCAGGTAGTGGTGTCAGGCGGTGCTGTTGGTTTGAATACGACAGAGACACCCTCTCCCCACACCTGCCTGAACTACTCTCCATGCCATATTGACATCTCCATGAGGAACACTTCTGGCTTCCTCATGCTATAGCCCTGAGGCATAGTGGGTGTGGGGTGTGGTTGGGTACATCTTGAATTCTTTCACCAAGCCCTGGCAGGTATGGGAATAGGGGATTCTATGGTGCTCTGCATATTGTTTTGTAGTCCTTGGACTGGCAAGCTGTAGTGGAAATTAAGTACAGTTGTTTTGTCACTGTTTGTAGCTTTGTGTGTGTGTTCATTGTCCCCACTAACATCTTGGGGAAATGAAAATAGCAGTGTTCAAGAAGCTCCATTTATTCACCACTTGAACCATATATGGTTGTCATCTTAGTATGTTTGTCTTACTTCTGCTTGTCCATCAATCTGCCTATCCATTCATCTCTCCATCACTCATCCACCCACCTACCCACCCACCCATCCATCCATCTATCCACCCACCCACCCATCCCTCCAGCATCCATCCACCCATCCTTCCATCCACCCATCCATCCAGTCACCTTAGTTTTTGATGAATTTCTCAGTTGCAAACATTCATGTACAGGAATTTGTGGGTCACCAGATGATAGAAGGGAGATTGAGCCCCCCCCCACCACCTTTTCTTAGTCTCATAAAAGAATTTAAGAATGGACTCAAACAGGAGCTCAAGGAGCATTTTATTAGGAAACAAAAAAAGATCCCACGGCAGAGCAGCTGTTGCAGCAGCTGCCCAGGAGGAGAATGTCCTCATGGAGGCCAGACATGTAGCTGACAAGCAAACACATGCTGGGAGGGCAAGGGCAAGGGAAAGAAGGAGGGAGTCTAGATTGCCAGCAAGAGCATACAGCACACTTAAGTTCTGGCCAGCTTCTCATAGAGACAGGAGAAGGAAAACATGGACCTTTCTACTCAAGCCAGCCAGACCTTCCAGTGGGATGGGGATTCTGGGAGGAAAAAATACAGTATCCCATTAGAAGAAAATTTATTCTGCCTCTTGTTTGCATGGCTTATGGTGAACCCACCTAGAGGCCTTGGTCAGGTGATTGGCCTGACCTAATGATAATGTTAGGTATCACCAGGCCTGAGATGCCACCTCACCCCTACAAATGTCATGTGTGTCATTGGCCACTTAGTAGTTGTTTATATTTGGGGACCTGGAGGAATCATACCTTAATTAAAATACTGGGCTCTTGAAGGTACCATTGAATAATTTACCAATACTACTGCTCCAGAATTGCCCCTTAGGCCTCTTCTCAGTCAACCCCTGTCCCACTGCCAGCCTCAGAGGCAATCAGGACTGAGTTTTTTCATTACAGATTAATCTCTTCTCACATTTTATGAGAGAGTCCATACTCAAGATGGTATAAGCTGGGGGTGGGGGTGTAGTCCCATGACAGAGTGATTGTTTAACATGTTTGAGCTCAGAATTCCATCCCCAGAGCTAAGAAAACAACAAGGGAGACAAGTTTCTTTCTCTCAGCATAACATTTTTGGGATTTATCTATGTCATACATGTAACAAGTTCTTTATTATTCATTCATTCATTCATTCATTCATTCATTCATTCATGTGCTGGGAATATAACCCAGGACCTTGTAATGTTAGGTACCTCATCACTGAGGTACCCTCTTTTTACTTTTGACTTGTCTGTACCAACAGTTTATCCATTCTCTACAGACACCTCATTGTTTCTAGTTGCAGACTTTTGTAAATAAATTCTTGTAAATATTCTGTACAAGTCATTGATTTCCCCCCCCCCCATAGGGCAGAATCTTAAACTGGGAAGGAATAAGTAGCAAGGGTTGGGCATGTACCAAGAAGGGGCTTAGGTTAGATGTGTATGTCTTCTAAGAAACTTACATCTTTTTCCAAAGTCGCTATGTCATTTATTTGTTTATTGCATGTATGAATGCATGTTTGCCTCGGTGTGGGCATATATGTGTTCAGGTGCTGTACATACATACACAGGTAAGAATGGAGACCAGAGATTGATGTCTTGTGTTTTCCTCGACTGCCCTCCAACTTATTTACTAAGGTAGGATTCTTTGTTGAACCCAGAAATCACCAATTTTGCTCATCTGTTTAGCCAGCTTGCCCAGATGTTCCTTCTCCATCTCTCTGGTTGTGGAATTTTAGGGTGGCCGTGCCAGCCTGCATTTATGTGGGTACTAGAGATCTGCACTCATCACATCCTCGTTGCTTACATGGAAAATGCATTATCCCCTGAGCCATTTCCCTACCCGTTTATTCTATCACAAACTGTGGTGATATATTCTTTATGACTTATTAAAGCTTGCCTGAGGATTCTGAAAGCAAAGCCAGCCACAAGCTATAGAACCAGGCAGTGGTGATACATACCTTTAATCCCAGGACTCAGGATTAAGAGGTAGATGGATCTCTATTAGTTCAAGGCCATACTGACTACACGAGATTGAATCAGTCTAAAAGAGTAAGAGAGTTAATGTCTTTAATCCCGGGACTCAAGAGAGGTATTTAAGACAGGAACAGGGTCTCAGAGATGGCATTCATTCTCCAGCCACATTGAGGATAAGAAGGCATTCATTCTCCAACCACACTGAGGAGAGGCTGAATGAGAAGCTTGGGAGACAAGATCAGCCATTTCAGCTGAGTAGTTTGACTGCTTTGCTTCTCTGATCTTTAGCTTGAAGCTTGAACCCCAGTATCTGTCTCTGGGTCTTTTTATTTTTTGTGCTACATATTATCACCCAGCTTTAAAGTATGAGTTCATAAAAAAGATGCTTCAAGGCCACGGGTCCAGGCCCAATCCAGAGCTGCAGGCAGGACTCCTGCCTGAGTCCCTCCTGCCTGAGTCCCTGCCAGACCAGTTAGGTTTTCTTTTGTTTTCTCCTCAGATCTTTGAACAAGTGTGAGATTTTTTTTTGGTTTTCTAAATAGTCTTTACCTGCCACCCAGACTTGGAAGACTTTTGGGCTTCCCCTACAGCGCCTCTCCTCGGGCTGATACTCTTAGCTCATAACCACAAGCTAGTTTTCTGATTCAGATGTGCTATGCCTCACAGTTCACTTACACTGGCAGATAAATCAATTGGAAATTCTTAAAGGATGGAATTAGTTAAAAAGAGAGTTTTTTCCCCACACTAAAAGATGGGAAACACTATTAAAATGGGGAAAATTAGGTCTCTGTATGATTATTACATAATGGATGGTTTAAAATGGAAGAATTAAATGAAGAGATAATCAACTGGGATTGACATACTGTTAATTATCACTTTGATTATCTTTGTTGTTGGTTTGATAATTCTTGGTTTATCTCTAAAAGTCGGTTGATATGAGTGCTAAGATGCAGGACTTAAAAGATCTTATTAAAGCAGATTATAGAGATATTCAAACCCAGACTGAGTAATTACATGGAGAAACAAGTTCAACGTTGTATCTCCAGGTTAAAAAGGAACACTCTAAGGTCTTAAGAGAACCACCTTTAATATATCCAGTAATCTTACAGGAAGTGCCAAATGAAAGAGGTTCTATTAGAGCTACTTAGAAGGCTGTAATGATGTTAGATTTAGGGAAATTCAAGGAAGCTGTAGTCTCATATGGTGTCCATTCATTTGTGAAGCAGATGATAAACACGTGGTTTGTTTGTAGTAGGGTTAGCCCTATAGATTGGGTAGATTTGATTAAAGCTGTCCTAGAGCCTGGACTACAATTACAGTGGGTTTCCTGGTACAGAGAAGAGGCTAAGAATATTAAACAAAAGGCTAAAGCAAGAGGTATGGATATTTCCCCAGATCAAATTCTTGGAGAAGGATATTATGCTACTTTAGAAAGGCAATGTCTATATGATGATCACCTCTTGGGTTTATGCCATGCAGCTGCTTTGAATGCTTGGGACAGAATT